CCTGGGGTGCTAGACAGGGCCCTGCGGTGCTAGACACGGGCCCTGGGGTGCTAGACAAGGGCCCTGGGGTGCTAGACAAGGGCCCTGGGGTGCTAGACAAGGGCCCTGGGGTGCTAGACACGGGCCCTGGGGTGCTAGGCAAGGCTCACCCGTCACCATGTAGCAGGAGCAAGGGGCCGCCGCCCCCCACTGACGCAGGCGACCACCACCACCTCCCGGGGGAGCCTACACTACACCCCCACCAGTACACACATGTCTCACCTCTCATATAACTGCTATATATAATATAATCCTCACCTGGTATAGCAGAGTGTTGATATAGAAGAGTGTAGAGTGAGGCGAGGCCGCCGCCGCCACCACTCAACATGTAAACAATCCACAACCTTCTTCCTCACTTAACTGTTCTAACTTAAATTTGACAATATTGTGTAATATATAAAGGATAAAGATATTTTCTCCTAATTAAATCATATATTCTAGTTCTTCTCTGGGATTTAGTACAAAGTTATGGCAAAAATAATCACAAAATAGAAAACGGGAAATTTGAAAGTGTAGAACTAAAGTAAAAACTTTTTTTTTTTTTGAGATATATACAAGAGTTGTTACATTCTTGTACAGCCACTAGTACGCGTAGGGTTTCGGGCAAGTCCTTAATCCTATGGTCCCTGGAATACGATCCCCCGCCGCGAAGAATCGTTTTTTCATCCAAGTACACATTTTACTGTTGCGTTAAACAGAGGCTACAGTTAAGGATTTGCGCCCAGTAAATCCTCCCCGGCCAGGATACGAACCCAGGACATAGCGCTCGCGGAACGCCAGGCGAGTGGCTTACCACTACACCACGGAGACTGTAATTAAGACTGTAAAACTTAATTTTAATCTGTTAAACTTAATCTATGCTTAACTTAAGCTGGAAATGGGTTAGGGCTGGATTATACTAGGTTAAGCCTAGAATAGACCTAGGTAGATTGGTTTGATTTCCATTTGTATTTATTCATCCATTTATAACTTCACGATTCTAGATTTTTCAATATTAACGGCTGCTACGCGGGAACAATTTTGGCGCCTTACTTAGAAGAGGCTTCAAACTAAAAACCCAACTTAATTCCATATGTATAATAACCGTCCTCTAAGTTTATTAATTAAATGCAACAAATTTAAACATAATTCGGCAGGCTTCCATGATTCAGCCCGTCATCAGGCTATGTTCATTCCATCCAGTGGCCAACCCCAAAGATGCATTCATTAATTTTAACCTGTTCATTTAAAATAGGAATTTTCTCATATATAAATTCATGAAGACGGGCTGCCTCCTGTAAATGCTTCACCCACATACTACAAATACACATAACGTATACGTCTTTCGTGGAGGAGCGATGGCGGGTTACATGAGGCTACGACGCGGGCACACTGAGGCAGCAACACCTTACACTCAGCCAGTAATATATTATAACAAGTTGAGGTAGATTTTCCCAGTGTTATTTCTCGTCTATTGTAAGGTCCCCTACCTCCTCCCCCGCCCCACACCCCGGCCTCCCCCGCCCCACACCACGCCCTCCCCCGCCCCACACCACGCCCTCCCCCGCCCCACACCCCGCCCTCCCCCGCCCCACACCACGCCCTCCCCCCGCCCCACACCCCGGCCTCCCCCGCCCCACACCCCGCCCCACACCCCGCCCTCCCCCCGCCCCACACCCCGGCCTCCCCCGCCCCACACCCCGCCCCACACCCCGGCCTCCCCCCGCCCCACACCCCGGCCTCCCCCGCCCCACACCCCGCCCCACCCCCGCCCCACACCCCGGCCTCCCCCGCCCACACATCCCCCGCCCTCCCCCCGCCCCACACCCCGGCCTCCCCCGCCCCACACCCCGCCCTCCCCCCGCCCCACACCCCGGCCTCCCCCGCCCCACACCCCGCCCCACACCCCGGCCTCCCCCGCCCCACACCCCGCCCTCCCCCCGCCCCACACCCCGCCCCACACCCCGCCCTCCCCCGCCCCACACCCCGGCCTCCCCCGCCCTCCCCCGCCCCACATCCCGCCCTCCCCCGCCCCACACCCCGGCCTCCCCCGCCCCACACCCCGCCCCTCCCCCGCCCCACACCCCGGCCTCCCCTGCCCCACACCCCGGCCTCCCCCGCCCCACACCCCGGCCTCCCCCGCCCCACACCCCGCCCTCCCCCGCCCCACACCCCGCCCTCCCCCGCCCCACACCCCGCCCTCCCCCGCCCCACACCCCGCCCTCCCCCGCCCCACACCCCGCCCCACACCCCGCCCTCCCCCGCCCTCCCCCGCCCCACACCCCGCCCTCCCCCGCCCCACACCCCGCCCTCCCCCGCCCAAGACAACATAAACAGGGCGGTGTCGAGGAAGTGGTGTTCTGGAATTTGCATTTCTATCACAAAATTGTATACGAATGACTCGATGACGCTGGCTGGTGGAGCCTTGGTGGGGGTGTGGGAGGGGAGGATGGTGTTGGTGGGGGTGTGGGAGGGGAGGATGGTGGTGGGGGGGTGTGGGAGGGGATGATGGTGTTGGTGGGGGTGTGGGAGGGGAGGATGGTGTTGGTGGGGGTGTGGGAGGGGAGGATGGTGTTAGTGGGGGTGTGGGAGGGGAGGATGGTGTTGGTGGGGGTGTGGGAGGGGAGGATGGTGTTGGTGGGGGTGTGGGAGGGGAGGATGGTGTTGGTGGGGGTGTGGGAGGGGAGGATGGTGTTGGTGGGGGTGTGGGAGGGGAGGATGGTGGTGGGGGGATGGCAGGATGGTGGTGGGGGGTTGAGAAGGAGGGGGTACAAGATGAAGGGCGACAAAAGGGGTGGCAGCGCTGTGATCCCAGTTACGCCACAAACTATATTTCTTTGTGATGCATACAAATGAAGAAGTTGTATGCTGCCTCTCACCCCACCCCTCACCCCTCGCCCCTCACTCCTCGCCCCACACCTCCTCCCCCTCTGCTTATTCCTCACACCTGAAATTCCTGGCTGCTGGAGGTGGCCGCTGGTGAGTATTGGGTTGTATGAGTCCCGCTGTGGTTGTGTGTATGGTTGTATGAGTGCCGTGGTGGTTGTGTGTATGGTTGTATGAGTCCCGCTGTGGTTGTGTATGGTTGTATGAGTGCCGCTGTGGTTGTGTATGGTTGTATGAGTGCCGCTGTGGTTGTGTGTATGGTTGTATGAGTGCCGCTGTGGTTGTGTATGGTTGTATGAGTGCCGCTGTGGTTGTGTATGGTTGTATGAGTGCCGCTGTGGTTGTGTGTATGGTTGTATGAGTGCCGCTGTGGTTGTGTGTATGGTTGTATGAGTGCCGCTGTGGTTGTGTGTATGGTTGTATGAGTGCCGCTGTGGTTGTGTATGGTTGTATGAGTGCCGCTGTGGTTGTGTATGGTTGTATGAGTGCCGCTGTGGTTGTGTATGGGTGTATGAGTGCCGCTGTGGTTGTGTGTATGGTTGTATGAGTGCCGCTGTGGTTGTGTGTATGGTTGTATGAGTCCCGCTGTGGTTGTGTATGGTTGTATGAGTGCCGCTGTGGTTGTGTATGGTTGTATGAGTGCCGCTGTGGTTGTGTGTATGGTTGTATGAGTGCCGCTGTGGTTGTGTGTGGTTGTATGAGTGCCGCTGTGGTTGTGTATGGTTGTATGAGTGCCGCTGTGGTTGTGTGTATGGGTGTATGAGTGCCGCTGTGGTTGTGTATGGTTGTATGAGTGCCGCTGTGGTTGTGTATGGTTGTATGAGTGCCGCTGTGGTTGTGTATGGTTGTATGAGTGCCGCTGTGGTTGTGTATGGTTGTATGAGTGCCGCTGTGGTTGTGTGTATGGGTGTATGAGTCCCGCTGTGGTTGTGTGTATGTCGCTGGGGTTATGTATGACTGCTCTGCCAGGATATATCGTTAACATTAACCAAGGGGTTGTACATGTGTTGATCACAACTTGGTTAAGGGTCAGCAACAACCGCCCCCACAGGGTCAACACTCCCACACTGGCCAGGAACATGATTGGTTGGGCACCATTCCTACCTCCCTTTCCCATCCCAAATCCTTATCCTGACCCCTTCCAAGTGCTATAGTCGCAATGGCTTGGCGCTTTCCCCCTGATAACTTCCTCCTACTTGAGTGCCGGACCAACCGGGCTGTGGTGGGTATGTGGGCCTGCGGGCCGCTCCAAGCAACAGCCTGGTGGACCAAACTCTCACAAGTCGAGCCTGGCCTCGGGCCGGGCTTGGGGAGTAGACGAACTCCCAGAACCCCATCAACCAGGTAACCAGGTACTTCATGGATCACTTAAACCATCAACTAATAAATTATGATACATTAGCACAAAATATCATCTATTGTCATACATTTAGGTTGATAAAGTGTGCATAACCCACCTTAAGGTTTAAATAAAGTCTTTACGACCAAGTTCCGAACATTATTAATCAAGAAATATAAAGCCAACAAAAGATCTGTACAAGTTAATGGTTAAGGAAGTTAATGTGTCAAGATGTTTGCCAGAAAGGTGAGTGAATGTGACCCGAGTATGACAAGACCAGGGGCCAGATTCACGGAAGCACTTACGAACGTGTACATCTTTCCTCAATCTTTGACGGCTTTGTTTACATTTATTAAACAGTTTACAAGTATGAAAACTTGCCAATCAACTGTTGTTATTGTTATAAACAGCCTCCTGGTGCTTCGGAGCTCATTAACTGTTTAATAATTGTAAACAAAGCCGCCAAAGATTGAGAAAAGATGTACAGGTTCGTAAGTGCCTTCGTGAATCTGGCTCCTGGACAACTGCCTCTGAAGACAACAAGTGTTGTGAGAGAGCTGCTCCTCAGTCTTCATGATTGAAAGTCTGGACCTGCATCAGTCTTAGTCTTGAGCGACGTTCACATCTTAAGACTTTCACAGTATGGCGAACCACACATCCAGTCTCTTAACATCATAAACATTCACACATTAGCATTTAAGAGTTACCAAAATAGAATTCTAAATTATTCTCACAGGTACAGCAGGAAGACAACATAAAAATGTAACTATGATGCAGTTATAATGAACACATTATACTATAAACACATCAGACGGTTTACGATGTAAATGTGTGATGTGGGGAGTGAGGAGCCACACTCCAGGTGCACCTGTGGAGACACGTCACACGTCACCCGAAGAAGCTGAAGGGGCTGGTGTCCTCGTCGTCCAGGTAATCCTCGTCGCGGTCATCATCGTCGTCCTCGTCGAACCTGGGCGGGCCGGCTGGGTCGAGTCCTTGAAGCAGGTGCCCCAAGATGAGCAAGGGGTTCCCTGCTCGCTGCCCGGCCACCACACCTGCAACACACACCTCCAACACCCACCGCCACACCTGTAACAACACCACCATAAACGATAAATCAACAATCAACACCATTGAATATTGGATTGTCAGAGAAATTGTAGTTCACACTACACTTTAATTTTCACAAAAGTCTTCCATTAATCTCTTCAACAGGTTCTACAACACCCCGAGCGGACCTTCGCTTCACAAGGACAACTCTAATATCGCCGTTGAAACAGGAATTTCAAACAAAAATATTAAATTCTAAAGTTTCTGGTAGGAGTAGGTACGCAAATCCGAAAACAGGTGACTTAAGGTGTAGGTATGAGTCGCCTGACCCAGGTTACAGTTAAGGATTGGCGCCCAGTCAATCCTCCCAGCTAGGATACGTACCCAGGCCAAAGCGCGCGGGAAGCGCCAGGCGAGTGTCATACCACTGCGCCACGGGTACTGCTTTTAGGCTTATGCTTTTCGTTTCACAACTTTAGTAACCAGTTATACATTTATATGTCAAATAATGAGTCATGTTAATAATGAACATTGTCAGTGGTTGGATATGAATAATTTCTTACAGAACCGCTCGTCATCAATAATGTATTACTAAGCACAACAGTTTTATGAGGCCAGAGTTGTCTGGTCTGAAACACAGGACTTGACAGACAACACTTACTTACAACACGTCCAGAGTGAGACCTATGAGCCCTGCAGAGCCACACAACACAACCTTACACCAACACAACCTCACACCAACACAACTCAACCCCAACACAACCTTACATCAACACAACCCCACACCTATACAACCCAACAACCCCACAACACAACCCCACACCAACACAACCCCCACACCAACACAACCCCACACCAACACAACCTCACACCAACACAACGCCCACACCAATACAACCCCACACCAACACAACTCCACACCAACACAACTCCACACTAACACAACCTCACACCAACACAACCTCACACCAACACAACTCCACACCAACACAACCTCACACTAACACAACCTCACACCAACACAACACCAACACAATTCCACACCAACACAACTCCACACCAACACAACCTCTCACCAACACAACCCCACACCAACACAACCCCGCACCAACACAACCCCACACCAACACAACTCAACACCAACACAATCCCCACACCAACACAACCTTACACCAACACAACCCCCACACCAACACAACCTCACACCAACACAACTTCACACCAACACAACCCCGCACCAACACAACCTCACACCAACACAACTTCACACCAACACAACCCCCGCACCAACACAACCCCCACACCAACACACCCCCACACCAACACAACTCCACACCAACACAACCCCACACCAACACAACCCCACACCAACAAAACCTCACACCAACACAACCCCACACACAACTCAACCCCCACACCAACACAACCCCCACACCAACACAACCCCACACTAACACAACCCCCACACCAACACAACCCCCACACCAACACAACCTTACACCAACACAACCCCCACACCAACACAACCTCACACCAACACAACCCCACACTAACACAACCTCCACACTAACACAGCCACACAACACAACCCCACACTAACACAGCCACACAACACAACCTCCACACTAACACAGCCACACAACACAACCCCCACACTAACACAGCCACACAACACAACCTCCACACTAACACAGCCACACAACACAACCTCCACACTAACACAGCCACACAACACAACCTCCACACTACACAACCCCCACACCAACACAACCCCCCACACAACACAACCACACTAACACAACCCCCACACCAACACAACCCCCACACAACACAACCTCCACACTAACACAGCCACACAACACAACCCCCACACTAACACAGCCACACAACACAACACAACCACACTAACACAACCCCACACCAACACAACCCCCACACCAACACAACCACACAACACAACCCCCACACCAACACAACCCCACACCAACACAACCCCCACACACAACACAACCCCCACACCAACACAAACCCCACACCAACACAACCCCACACCAACACACCCCACACCAACACAACCCCCACACAAACACAGCCACACAACACAACCCCCACACTAACATATATTTAACAGAAAACGAAAAAATTATTATTTACACAAGGTGTGTATGCGGACCGATCACAATTATATTAAATTAAAATTAATTTTTTTATTCAGGAAAAGTACATACACATAGATGAGGTTACAAACATAATGTTGGATTTATAGATAGAGTTAGTACATACAATACCTAAAGCCACTAATACGCATAGCGTTTCGGGCAAAAATACAATACATTCCTTCATGCTCTATCTCATAATTTCCGCTACTTTTTTTTTAATCGTTCGCCTATTTAATCCCTAGAACACTTACTATAGATTTCTGGAACACTTAAGTGGAACGTAGAGAACTCTGAGGTTCCTGGAACACTGAGCACTTAAGTTCGAACACCAGAGTGTCCGTGTTCGTGAGTAGCTTAAGGTCCTCCGTGGCTCCTGTACCTAAGCTGCCCTCAGTGGCCTGACAGCCCTTGACGCTTCTATTGTCTTCCCTGATGATGAAATCCTCGTCGTCCCTTCACCTTCTAGTGTGTGGTCTGGTCATCATGATGATATGACGACGCTGCCCGAAACGCTTTGCGTAATAGTGGCTTTAGGCATTGTATGTACTGGCTCTATCTATTAATCCAACAAACTTTGTAAAATCTCTTGTATGTATGTACCTTACCTAAATATACATTTATTTATTTATTTAAATTGTTTTGGCATGCGGCGTGGGGGGGGGGGGGCGTGGAGTGCTGCCACCCCTGCCCACACCCCACACCTGCCCACACCTGCCCACACCCCACACCTGCCCACACCCCACACCTGCAGCCTCCAGACCTACACCACCCAGACAACACTTGTAGCAATAAATGCTGCCGCTGACCAACTCTCGATACACAAGGTATAAACAGGTACATTAAAACAACTTTTCTGCAAATATCCGGAACGGTTTGTGTGTTGTGGTGGGTTGGCACACTGTGGGACGGGGCACCTACTGTGGGGCAGGGCACCTACTGTGGGGCGGGGCACCTACTGTGGGCGGGGCACCTACTGTGGGACGGGGCACCTACTGTGGGGCGGGGCACCTACTGTGGGACGGGGCACCTACTGTGGGACGGGGCACCTACTGTGGGACGGGGCACCTACTGTGGGGCGGGGCACCTACTGTGGGACGGGGCACCTACTGTGGGACGGGGCACCTACTGTGGACGGGGCGCCAGCATGGGCGGCCCTACGCCCCTCCCTCTACACATGTATTCACTTCCTGCTTCATCTTCATCTTCAAAAATATGTTATTATTACAAATGAAAATGAAACAAAATATTTTGTAGAGGTGCTGAACTTGGCCCAGAGGTGATAAGAGAGTAATATATGTGTGATAATTGTAGCGTGTGTTGATGGTACACCTTGTGAGCTGCTCCCACCACACTCTCCCACACCCAGGCCCTCACAACACCCAGGCCCTCACAACACCCAGGCCCTCACAACACCCAGGCCCTCACAACACCCAGGCCCTCACAACACCCAGGCCCTCACAACACCCTGGCCCTCACAACACCCAGGCCCTCACAACACCCTGGCCCTCACAACACCCAGGCCCTCACAACACCCAGGCCCTCACAACACCCAGGCCCTCACAACACCCAGGCCCTCACAACACCCAGGCCCTCACAACACCCAGGCCCTCACAACACCCTGGCCCTCACAACACCCAGGCCCTCACAACACCCAGGCCCTCACAACACCCTGGCCCTCACAACACCCAGGCCCTCACAACACCCAGGCCCTCACAACACCCTGGCCCTCACAACACCCAGGCTCTCACAACACCCAGGCCCTCACAACACCCTGGCCCTCACAACACCCAGGCTCTCACAACACCCTGGCCCTCACAACACCCAGGCCCTCACAACACCCAGGCTCTCACAACACCCAGGCCCTCACAACATCCTGGCCCTCACAACACCCAGGCCCTCACAACACCCTGGCCCTCACAACACCCAGGTCCTCACAACACCCAGGTCCTCACAACACCCAGGCCCTCACAACACCCAGGCCCTCACAACACCCAGGCCCTCACAACACCCAGGTCCTCACAACACCCAGGCCCTCACAACACCCAGGTCCTCACAACACCCAGGCCCTCACAACACCCAGGCCCTCACAACACCTAGGTCCTCACAACACCCAGGTCCTCACAACACCCAGGCCCTCACAACACCCAGGTCCTCACAACACCCAGGCCCTCACAACACCCAGGCCCTCACAACACCCAGGTCCTCACAACACCCAGGTCCTCACAACACCCAGGCCCTCACAACACCCAGGCCCTCACAACACCTAGGTCCTCACAACACCCAGGTCCTCACAACACCCAGGCCCTCACAACACCCAGGCCCTCACAACACCCAGGCCCTCACAACACCCTGGCCCCAGCTCTGTGTAAATGGTTGGGAGGGGGTTGTTGTGGTGGTGGTGTGGGGGTGGGGTTGTTGTGGTGGTAGGGGGAGGGAGGTGTTGTGGTGTTGTAGAGGTGCTCCAGCACTCCGGGTGGAGGTGTTACTTACCGTCCGCAACATTGTTGTGATGGAGGCCCCGGCACGCCGCGGGTCGCCCGCTGTCTCACCTCTGACTACCTTGGTGTGTCGCCGTGTTTATATTGTGTCTCTTCCTCCTCCTCCCTCTCTCTTCCTCCTCCCCCTCCCTCTCTCTTCCTCCCTCTCTCTTCCTCCTGCCCCTCCCTCTCTCTTCCTCCTCCCCCTCCCTCTCTCTTCCTCCTGCCCCTCCCTCTCTCTTCTTCCTCCCCCTCCCTCTCTCTTCCTCCTCCCCCTCCCTCTCTCTTCCTCCTCCCCCTCCCTCTCTCTTCCTCCTCCCCCTCCCTCTCTCTTCCTCCTCCCCCTCCCTCTCTCTTCCTCCTCCCCCTCCCTCTCTCTTCCTCTTCCTCCTCCTCCTCCCTCTCTCTCTCTTCCTCCCCCTCCCTCTCTCTCTCTCTCCTCCCCCCCCCCCCCAATCCCTGGTCTAACTAGACTCATCTGATGTTAACTAGCTGGTAATTTGGACTTAAATTCAACGAAAATAAAGAAAACAGCTGAAGATGTTTCAGTTGTTAATGATAAACAACCCATAGTCAGCAGGCGGGCGGCCGCGCCTCTCTGACGTCACCACAACACAACCTGTCGGGCCGCCCCCGGCACCAGGACCTTCCTAGTTCCACCTTCCCAGCGCCTCCCAGGATCCATCCTAGCTCCCAGCGCCTCCCAGGATCCATCCTAGCTCCCAGCTCCTCCCAGGATCCATCCTAGCTCCCAGCGCCTCCCAGGACCCATCCTAGCTCCCAGCTCCTCCCAGGATCCATCCTAGCTCCCAGCGCCTCCCAGGATCCATCCTAGCTCCCTGCTCCTCCCAGGACCCATCCTAGCTCCCAGCTCCTCCCAGGATCCATCCTAGCTCCCAGCGCCTCCCAGGATCCATCCTAGCTCCCAGCTCCTCCCAGGATCCATCCTAGCTCCCAGCTCCTCCCAGGATCCATCCTAGCTCCCAGCGCCTCCCAGGATCCATCCTAGCTCCCAGCTCCTCCCAGGATCCATCCTAGCTCCCAGCTCCTCCCAGGATCCATCCTAGCTCCCAGCGCCTCCCAGGATCCATCCTAGCTCCCAGCGCCTCCCAGGACCCATCCTAGCTCCCAGCGCCTCCCAGGACCCATCCTAGCTCCCAGCGCCTCCCAGGATCCATCCTAGCTCCCAGCGCCTCCCAGCACCCTCCATAATCCCCAGGCAGTTACTCAACTGTACAAATATGTGGAGCGCTTCACTTGGATGACTGTGGCCAAACAGGAGACTCATCTACTGCCTGAGTCTCGCCTCTCTGACTTTCCTTATGACTGTGTATCATTGGTCAGCCATCTCGTCGTGATGGAGTGGTTGCCTACACCTTGAGGTTACCTTGAGGTGCTTCCGGGGCTTAGCGTCCCCGCGGCCCGGTCGTCGACCAGGCCTCCTGGTTGCTGGACTGATCAACCAGGCTGTTGGACGCGGCTGCTCGCCTCTGCCCTACACTCAGGTTATTGATAAAATGTTCCAGTAGGATAATTTATTTATAAATTCAAACAATGTTGTATACATCATCCCACTGATCTCTCTCTCTCGCTCAAAATACACATTATTATTTCAATATTAACAGTAATAGGCACACATTCCGGGGAAGAGGTGATGAAGGTTAGGTTAGGTCAGGTTAGGTTAGGTCAGGTTAGGTTAGGTCAGGTTAGGTTAGGTCAGGTTAGGTTAGGTCAGGTTAGGTTAGGTTAGGTCAGGTCAGGTCAGGTCAGGGGGGAGGGGGGGCGGCGCCCATCACGGACCTCATGTACTCCGGGAACGACAGCTTGCCGTCCTGGTCGGCGTCGAAGTTGTTAAGAAGAAAGTCTATCTTGTTTGAGAGGTCGTCGTCGGAGAGGAGACGTAAGGAGGCCCCTGCGAAGCACACCACCCTCACATGAACACGTGATAGGTACAAATAATGGGAAGAATGATACCACGAGCACACCGCTAACCCCGTCATTAGTGTTTAGTCAACCTTCAAAGTGTTTACAATGTCTTAAAATAAGTCAAAGTTGACCAGACCACACACTAGAAGGTGATGGGACGACGACGTTTCGCTCCGTCCTGGACCAAGTCGATTCGACTTGAGAATGGTCCAGGACGGACCGAAACGTGGTCGTCCCTTCACCTTCTAGTGTGTGGTCTGGTCAACATTCTTCAGCCACGTTATTGTGACTCATCGCCTACAAAATAAGTCAAAGTTTGTGAGAGAGACACAAGAAGAGAGCGGGAGGGCGTGGCCGGGTGCTCACCGTCGCCCAAGGACTGGATCAGTTCGATGCCGTCCAGCAGGTGGTCGCTGTCGTAGTCGTGGGAGAGGAAGAGGTGGAACAGCTTCTCCGTCGTGGACATGGCCGCCAGGTTGAGGTGCGCCTGATGCCTGATGTGTTCCGCCAGGTGCTCCGTCAGGTGCAGGTCACTCTGCTCCTCGTGCCGGCCTCTGCTGGCACACACGCACCAGAGACTGTCAACCACCTTCATATTCTCTACTACAACCTTCCATGAAGTATACAAGTATTGTAATTATTAAATTAAACGAATTTCACAGCGAGGAAAGTTAAGAGTCAGACAGCACTACACTAATACAAGAAGCTAAATCTAAATAATATGTATATGAGGGCCAGGTGCAGGGGCGGGCCACAGGTCGCACCTCACACAGTTATCACAACTCAAATGGTTTTCCGTTTGTCGTTATGAGATACGAGAGGCGTGTTAGGCTTATCGAAGTCCCTTCTCGCCAACCACTGATGTCCGCAGGACTCAACCCAACACAGCACGGGCATGAATAGCCCGATTGATGAACACTGAGCCAGCCAAGAAGTCGTCCACCACTGTTTGATATGGGATCTGTTCATCTCGCCCTCAGCTAATACGTCTCATTATGTCACTCATGGTCCCAAGTGCACAAAACACCATGAAACGTACCGGCTCGTAAAATATCCCTTACGTCAAGGAGGTCGAGGGGGTCCTCCAGGTCGAAGGGACACAAGCTGCTACAGGAGCCTCCATAGAGGTGACGGAGAGAGAGAGAGAGCGCGACAGAGAGAGAGAGAGAGAGACAGAGCGCGACAGAGAGAGAGAGAGACAGAGCGCGACAGAGAGAGAGACAGAGCGCGCGACAGAGAGAGAGACAGAGCGCGACAGAGAGAGAGACAGAGCGCGACAGAGAGAGAGACAGAGCGCGCGACAGAGAGAGAGACAGAGCGCGCGACAGAGAGAGAGACAGAGCGCGCGACAGAGAGAGAGACAGAGCGCGCGACAGAGAGAGAGACAGAGCGCGCGACAGAGAGAGAGACAGCGCGCGCGACATAGAGAGAGACAGCGCGCGCGACAGAGAGAGAGACAGAGCGCGCGACAGAGAGAGAGACAGAGCGCGCGACAGAGAGAGAGACAGAGCGCGCGACAGAGAGAGAGACAGAGCGCGCGACAGAGAGAGAGACAGAGCGCGCGACAGAGAGAGAGACAGAGCGCGCGACAGAGAGAGAGACAGAGCGCGCGACAGAGAGAGAGACAGAGCGCGCGACAGAGAGAGAGACAGAGCGCGACAGAGAGACAGAGCGCGACAGAGAGAGAGAGAGACAGAGCGCGACAGAGAGAGAGACAGAGCGCGACAGAGAGAGAGACAGAGCGCGCGACAGAGAGAGAGACAGAGCGCGCGACAGAGAGAGAGACAGAGCGCGCGACAGAGAGAGAGACAGAGCGCGCGACAGAGAGAGAGACAGAGCGCGCGACAGAGAGAGAGACAGAGAGAGAGACAGAGCGCGCGACAGAGAGAGAGACAGAGCGCGACAGAGAGAGAGACAGAGCGCGCGACAGAGAGAGAGACAGAGCGCGCGACAGAGAGAGAGACAGAGCGCGCGACAGAGAGAGAGACAGAGCGCGACAGAGAGAGAGACAGAGCGCGACAGAGAGAGAGACAGAGCGCGCGACAGAGAGAGACAGAGCGCGACAGAGAGAGAGAGACAGAGCGCGACAGAGAGAGAGACAGAGCGCGACAGAGAGAGAGAGACAGAGCGCGACAGAGAGAGAGACAGAGCGCGACAGAGAGAGAAATAAAACATGGGTTACTTTAGTAGTTCGTGGTTCATCTGTCCATGTTCTTGTACTTACTCTGCATGTCCTTGTACGTGTTGTTCCTGTCCTTGCTCGTGTACTTGGCCGTGCTGTGAGTGGTCGTGGTTCATGAACTCCTGTATGGGGTCCATGGCGTGCATGTGTACAGCGGTGGCCAATAGGAGGCACGCCACAGCCTGAACCCACCTCATTGGTCCTGCATGATAGATGAACGAAGCGGATTGGTTAATCCATCATAGCGTCACCATATTAGTGACGTCATCAATGAACGGTCGGCGCAAGCCTGAACAACCTAAAAAAAGTCTTTCAGCCTAATTGAGGATTAACAACATCAGACTTGCTATCTCACTACGGGCTCTTGCGCTCAGTGCTGCTTCAAGATGTTGCAACAGAGACTAAACAGATAACAATTGTGGCTAGTCAAATGGACATTAGAATTCGGCCTTAAGCAAATGTAACATTATGAGAATTGAGAAGAGAGAATAATGCTACACAACTCAATAAATGACTCAGTGTGTGGATATCTAAATGACTCAGTGTGTGGATATCGTGTGTGTGTGTGTGTGTATTCACCTAGTTGTGCTTGCGGGGGTTGAGCTGTGCTCTTTCGGCCCGCCTCTCGACTGTCAATCAACTGTTACTAACTACTATTTTTTTTCCCCACACACACAGCCAGGAAGCAGCTGTCATAACAGCTGTCTAACTCCCAGGTACCTATTTACTGCTAGATAACAAGGGCATCAGGGTGAAAGAAACTCTGCCTATTTGTCTCTGCCCGCGCCGGGAATCGAACCCGAGCCACAGTATTACGCGACCAGCGTGCTGTTCACTCAGCCACCGGCCCCCCTTGGCGTGCGTGCGTGTAGGGAGAGGAGTGTAAACTGTTTACTAACTAATGTTACCTTAGTAAAGTGAGGTCTTGGCGGAGAAACGGTGGTGGATGGTGTGGGCTGAGTACTGGAGTACTGGAGTACACTCCTGGTGTGTGACACTCACTCGTCACTCAGCCCTCACTCACCACCACGTCCCCACACACTAACACTCCACCTGCAGTCTCAGTCACCAGGTGTTGGCGGAGCACACACCTGTCAACCACAGCTGGGCAGGTGTGTGAGCTAGTGGAGGGAGGGGGAGTTATAACCCCCCCCCCCCACTGTCACGGTGTGTCCCGGACTACCTGCACAGGTAGTGGGAAACAACTATTCCAACTACCACTGTGTCTACACTATTCCAACTACCACTAACTGTGTCTAGACTATTCCAAGTACCATTAACTTAAGCAACAATTTACGCACCATTAAAGAGAGGAAAAATAAGAGTGGCACAAGTGAGTAACTATTTATTACGACCAGATTAAATAACGCCAAATAAATGGCTTTCCAAAAGGCCATTAACTGGTAATTCGTTTAATATGTCCCAGTCCGTTGGCGCCCCTTGGCTCTCCTGTTGCCTGTTGGCGCCCCTTGGCTCTCCTGTTGCCTGTTGGCGCCCCTTGGCTCTCCTGTTGCCCGTTGGCGCCCCTTGGCTCTCCTGTTGCCTGTTGGCGCCCCTTGGCTCTCCTGTTGCCCGTTGGCGTCCCTTGGCTCTCCTGTTGCCTGTTGGCACCCCTTGGCTCTCCTGTTGCCCGTTTTCTCGCAGTGGTTTCTGTCCACACCCGTTTCTTTCTGTTCACAACTGTTTCTCCTTATTGGGACCCGTTTGTCTCTGCTCACATCCGTTGTCTCTGCTCACATCCGTTTCCTCCTCTTGAGATCTGTTTCCTCCTGTTGGCAACCGTTGGTTCCGGTCACCCCCCCCCCCGCTCCTCCGTTAACCCCGTTACCGTTACCGTTGCCCTTCCCTGTTGCTGTCCCCCCCCCCTGCCCACTTTTCAGCAGGAGGCGCGGATCAAGAATCACATTATAACAATTAGAAGCCGCTACAATCCAATAGCGTGCAGGTGCCGCCTACCATATTCCCCTCCCGTGGGCTGCCAGCCCGACTCTTGCGTCTCTCGGGCTCTCTGCTTCACGGGGGTCACACCGCTGGAGAGCTCCATAGAGCCCCAGGGTCGCTGCTGCTCTGACGAGTCGCACTCGGCTCAAGGGTGACCTCACACTCGAAGCTGGGGCCCGACACCTTGGCAACCCTGGTTGTTAAGAGTGAGTGAGAGGATCAATTGAGTAATTAGGCCAGTCTCTGAGGGCGAGTGTTACTCTGTGTCGGGGACTGGTGGAGTGGTGTTCCCCAGGGACTGGTCGACTGACTGGGGGAAGAGTGTGGTGTTCACCAGTCATTATGGACGCGTCGAGCCTCCGTGGATCCTTCTTCTGACTGGCCCACTCACTCTCAGTCTTCACCTCTTGTCTTATAATTTAACTCTTCTCATGTTCGATTTCTTTGTCCAATCTGACGTTTAAAATTGTTGATGGAGGTGGCTTCCAGAACCTGCTTCTGTGCTGACCACTTGCTGACCAGCCGTGCTGGGGTACCAGAGTGCTGACCAGCCGTGCTGGGGTACCAGAGTACTGACCAGCCGTGCTGGGGTACCAGAGTGCTGACCAGCCGTGCTGGGGTACCAGAGTACTGACCAGCCGTGCTGGGGTACCAAAGTACTGACCAGCCGTGCTGGGGTACCAGAGTACTGACCAGCCGTGCTGGGGTACCAGAGTGCTGATCAGCCGTGCTGGGGTACCAGAGTGCTGACCAGCCGTGCTGGGGCACCAGAGTACTGACCAGCCGTGCTGGGGTACCAGAGTACTGACCAGCCGTGCTGGGGTACCAGAGTGCTGACCAGCCGTGCTGGGGTACCAGAGTACTGACCAGCCGTGCTGGGGTACCAGAGTACTGACCAGCCGTGCTGGGGTACCAGAGTACTGACCAGCCGTGCTGGGGTACCAGAGTACTGACCAGCCGTGCTGGGGTACCAGAGTGCTGACCAGCCGTGCTGGGGTACCAGAGTACTGACCAGCCGTGCTGGGGTACCAGAGTGCTGACCAGCCGTGCTGGGGTACCAGAGTACTGACCAGCCGTGCTGGGGTACCAGAGTGCTGACCAGCCGTGCTGGGGTACCAGAGTACTGACCAGCCGTGCTGGGGTACCAGAGTACTGACCAGCCGTGCTGGGGTACCAGAGTACTGACCAGCCGTGCTGGGGCACGTGACCTTCCTCTCACTTGCGTTTCCAGCTTCCACTTCTGTCCTCTCGTCCTAATTCATTTCACCTTAAAGAAGCTGCAATTTTCCACATTGTCAATTGCCCTCAGTATTTTGTATGCTGCGATCATGTCCCCTCCATTTCTTCTTTCCTCCGGAGTTGCTAGGTCTAGTTTCCTTAACTGATCCTCATAGCTCAGCCCCCTTACCTCTGGTACTTATCTTGTTTCAAACCTTTATATTTTTCAAATTTGATTTTATGTTTCAAAAGATGCGGATTCCCGGCCGGTGCTGCACATTCCAATATTGTGTACATTGTCTTGAGTCTTGGTTTAGGCTTCTAGACGACGTTCTAATGTCTGCCAGCATCCCATATGCTGCTGATGTCACTCGGTTTATGTGTGTGTAAGAGATAGTGTTGGAAGTATATCAAATACCTTTCTCTCCGATCCCTGTAGTTGCCTTCCTCTTATGGTGTAGATATCTTCTGTTCTCCTTTCTCTGTGTCCCATCCCCATTACCTTACACTTGTTGAGATTGTATTCTGGCAACCATTTTGTTTACCAACTCCTGGAGTTTGTCAAGATCATCCTGTAACTTTCTGCGGTCCTCCTCCTCTGTTCTTATGTTCCTCATTATCTTTATGTCGTCTGCAAACATTGACAAGTATGGGCTCACTAGATGGTGGTGGTGGTGGTGGTGAGTGGTGGTGGTTGTAGTGATGGTAGGGGTGGTGGTGATGGTGGTGGGTGATAAACTTGCCAACGCTGCCCACTGGAAGGTAGGAAGGAATACAGACGTGCATCATTCCAGGGTTCGTGTTTTTTTTTTTTTTTTTTTTTTTTTTTTTTGAGATATATACAAGAGTTGTTACATTCTTGTACAGCCACTAGTACGCGTAGTGTTTCGGGCAGGTCCCTGGAATACGATCCCCGCCGCGAAGAATCGTTGTTACAACCAAGTACTCATTTTACTGTTGAGTTATACAGAGGCTACAGTTATGGATTTGCGCCCAGTAAATCCTCCCCGGCCAGGATACGAACCCATGACAAAGCGCTCGCGGAACGCCAGGCGAGTGTCTTACCATTACACCACGGAGACTGGTAAAATCCAGTCTGGAGACTGTTCGAATCCTCATCATGGCTTCTACTCATTTTCTCATTGAATCATCTCGTTAATGTGTTTTTTCTTTGTGAATTAGAAGGTAAGAATTGGAGGTAAAAGTCCCACACCACAACCAATGTATACGGACAATACGAGACACCTTCCACTGGGCTTCACTAGGAGTCTCAGGAACCCTAGATGCTTCAGTTCAAGTCCAGGTTGCATCGGTTGTAACATGTCGTGGCTGAGTTGGTTAGGTCGTATGCTTGGGAGCACCCAGTGTACAGGTTCGAATCTTCATCATAGCATCTACTTATTTTAATAAGTAGATGCTATGCTATAATATATATAATAATTTAGTCCCCGTGGTATAGTGGTAAAACACTCGTCTGGCGTTCCGCGAGCGCTATGTCATGGGTTCGTATCCTGGCCGGGGAGGATTTACTGGGCGCAAATCCTTAACTGTAGCCTCTGTTTAACTCAACAGTAAAATGTGTACTTGGTTGTAACAACGAATCTTCGCGGCGGGGATCGTATTCCAGGGACCTGCCCGAAACGCTACGCGTACTAGTGGCTGTACAAGAATGTAACAACTCTTGTATATATCTCAAAAAAAAAAGAAGTAATAAGCGGGTTCATGAAAACACCCTGGCTTCCTGTCACCCGCCACAATGAATTGCTATAATGCATGAGGGTTCACAACCAGAGACTTGTACACTTTAAGAATTAGTTTTCTTTCATTAAACTCAAAGGTGCGCCGGATTATTCCTTGGGTTTGATTAGACTATTTTGTTTACTTTTCTCTTCACTTAATTGTTAGTCCTAACTAAAACTAAAATCGTCAATACTAATTATGGATTTTTAATTGACTTAATCTGATTAACACTGAGACCTACTTACTGCTAGGTGAACGGACGCCTTAGGTGAAAGAAAATGTGCCCAACCACTTCTGTCGAGAAGGAACCCGACTGTACTACCAGAACCCTTGTTAATGTTAACTGTTCCCGCATGGTTCCCGTTCCTCATTGTCTCTGAGAAGACTCTGGTGTATAGAGCTGTTGGGCTTACTCGTGTAATATATATACCAGAGTATACAGTATACCAGATACTGTATACTTCAGTATAATTGTCCAGTATACCAGAGTATACTGGACAATATAGTAGAGTACATTTTAAATATAATAGTCTGTCATAAGAATACATTTTCTGTAATTGTCAACAGTAATTGTTGTTGTTTTCTGTAATCTAGGAAGTTTTCTAAATTTTCCCTTCATTTATTTTAAAACTTTGAACGGAGATAAAGGACAAGAAAGGATGTTTTAAGAGTTGGCGTAAAGGACAACACTTTAGGTAATAAGATAATAAGATAGAGCAATAATACAGCAAGATAATAAAGGATACCACCGGGCTCGACCCCGGTGTGGTGGTAAAAGATGGCTCCGGTGGGTCGTAGCCCTCATTGTGTTGCTGCTGAGCAGTTTCCACATTCCTTTACTATGACACTGACCTCCGCCTCCCGCCGCTGACTCAGCCGAAGCTTCCTGGTCGTGGTGGCGGCCGCGGGCGTGGTCGAGGCTTCACCGCCCGGCACTTTCTGCCTGAGGTCTGAGGAGCTTCCCCGGGGCACTGTCACGCCCCGCCAGCGGAACGCCCACCGTCGCCTTCCTCCATATTGCTGCTCTAACACCTCTTACGTCGCCGCTCTTCTCTTACTGGCTACTTTACCCGCTTTTCTTACTTAATCGAAAAGGATTTTTTTATAGAGAATCTATTTATTCATCTGTTTATTTATTTATTTATTTATATACAAGAAGGTACATTAGGTTCATGAGTACATAGCATTAAATCTTTTTGCATTCTTGTAAAGCCACTA